AAAAAAAAAAAAAAAAAAAAAAAAAAAAAAAAAAACAACTGCCAACATTGCTTGGCAGTGCTGGCTTTCTGTTCAGTTTCACCCCTGGAAAAAACACAGTAACTAGGCTGAGGACATAGCTCAGTGGTGCTGCTCCTGCCTGGCAAGTGTGAGGTCCTGAGTTTGATTCCTGGTATCTCCCCCAAAACAATGAAACTAACAACTTTATCCAACGTAGTTCTAATGTTGGATCATGCAGGCATACATGACGATTTTGTAGTATTTTGACCAGTCAAATACTTATTTACATTACTGTTCTCTTCCTCATCTGAATCAGTCTTCATCCTGTACTCGTCTATCTGTCATCTATCTTGTCCATCTATCTTGCAACTTCTTTGGCTCACACCATCCAAGTCATCCTCAGTAGCCGAGTCACCTAATGACTCACCTTCCACCTCCTCCCAAAGTTGTAAAAGCAGATTTTAATGTGATGTTGGACTCAACTGGGCTAATTCTACCAGAAAAATCACAAGAAAACATCTAGTAAAACAAATGATAAATACACAAAAATGTAACACAGTGCATAATGTGGATAAAACTTGCCGATTACACTTTGACACACATGCACACACACCTTGCTATTCAGTGTACCAAGTGGGTGAACACAAAGATTGCTTCCTGATTCCCCCACCACAGCTACTGAGATGCACAGCCGAATACCATTTTGCTAAAGTACACATTTCCACTGAAAAATATGGTCTGGGTGTTTTTTACCCACCATCATGCCCTTTGATTTAAAGTAAACACAGCCAGAGACAGCTCATTTCCACTACGTTGTTTTGTTTTGTTTTGTTTCCCAGTACCAGGAATTGAACTCAGGGCCTTCCACTTGCCAGGCATGTTTGGTACCAACGAGCTAAATCCCTAGCCAGAGTTCATTTCCTATTAGTCAACCTCCTCATAATTCAGGTCTAGTATCAATTTTCCAAATGCAACTTTGCTCACTCACATGCTCCCTCCACCCCCTATCTACCTCCCCAATATTTTATAATGAATTGGTAACCTTGACATGGTAGAAAAATATTTATTTGGAATATGTATTATATAACCAATCATAAAATGTACAAATGATAGCTGGATAGAAAATGAAGTTAGCTTCCTAAATTTTATATTACTTAGCCTCACTCATAATTGTATTCTGAACAAAAATGAATCTCTTACCTTCACATACATATTTTCTGCAAAACTACAACTACAAAATAATGAATCTGGTGTTCATTAACACCAGTGGAAATCAACCTTATTACATGTACAGTTATAGGCAGGTCCACAAGCTCTGCCCACTTGAGGTGTACACAACGCACCTGTGCTTACCCCACCGCACTGTGGCACAGGGGACAGAAGGTGCAGCTGCTGACCACCCGCGTGTGCACACAGTGCCTGCACACACTGCACATCCAGAACTGGTACTCGGTGATGGGGCTTCCCGTGGCCACACACGTGGGCAGCTTCCCTTCTCCACTGCAAAAATGAGCAGGAAACCCAGTTACACTTTAAAATTTCCAAGAAATCTCACCTAATTTATATATTTAAAAATTGAAGAATGAAAAGTACACCAAGATAAAGTTTGAATAAAATACTGTTACTTCAGAAAGTGGTTTGCAAGAAAAAACGTTACTGAGAATGAAAAAATAAAGCATTAACGGTCTTCTAAGATAAATAACAGAGTATATTGTTAGGTAAGTTACTTCAAACTTCAATGCTTTCCCTATTGTATTACATAAATTACATACATACAGAAATAAACATATAGCAATCTAAGCTTCTCCTAAGGTACAACGATATCTACTGATTATAATTAGCCTACCCTTCAAGAAGGCTGTCCAATTCGGGTTTCCTGTTATCTTTTGGAGGATGCTTGGTGAATATTTCTAGAGCAAGATCTTCATATTGCTGTTTCTGCTCTGAACTCAGGGTCTCTAAAGATTCCAGTTTAATAAAAGCTTTCGAGCAGGTGCCAAAATCTCGACTGGCACATGCACAGAGTGCCAACAAAGAGTAGATCTCAACTGCAGGGATAATGTCTTCATAGTCTCTCAGATGAAGAGCTAGGAAAGAGAACACTTGAGGTTTGGAAATACGATCATGAACTCTCCTAGGAAAGGTCATAGGTTGTGTTCCAGTTTAACTTCTATAAACTTTAACAAACTTCAAGAGAACAACACTGAGAAACTGGTTCACTGGTACGATATATGATCCCCAGGTTCTGTGAAGCCAACTAACAGCTCAGGTCCGCTAAAAATAACAACCGCCACGCAGGACCAGTGGCGCGCACTGTAGTTCCAACTACTGAGGAATCTGAAAGCAGAATTACAAATTCAAGGCCAGCCTGGCAAGTTAGTGAGACACTGTCTCAAACTAAAATAAAAAGGGCTGTGGGAGTAGTTCAGTGGTAGACAAAATCCTGAGTTCAATCCCCAGTACCACAAAACTGAAAAATAAAAACGAATTTTAACTCGCCACCACCTGATGCACATGGTTGAGCCAACTTAAAAAGATAGCCACAGACAAAAAAGTTTCTAGTGTTGAAACATCCATCTCTTATTCCATTTAAGTAGAAATTTCAGTGGCACTGCAGAAAAACTAGTATTGCAGTGTTAGTCATCATTCTCAATATCACATTTCTTTTGCAAAAAGGCAAAGCAACGTGGAATCATACACTTCGTGTTTCTCTGACCTGGCTACTGCTTGTCTGTCTCAGTGAACAACGCGTCTGTCAGAAAAAGAAGTGAAAACGAGTCCTGTGCTGCCAGCTAACATCGCGCACTCCAACAGCCGCTATGCCTCATCGGCGACCTTTCTGCCCTTGAGATGCTGTCTTTCCTTAAAAATGTACTGCAGAATTAATATCACATTTGTAATTAATTTGTTTCTTTTTCTTCTTTAGACCTTGCAGTCTTGATACTTCATCATGGAATACTGGAATTTTCATACGACATGTAAGTATAAAATATACTCGTGTTTTATAATCAGATTCTTACAAAGTGGTTCGAAAAGTCAAAAGTTGACAGTAAACTTTAGTGGAAGACATTTATAAAAATATATTCAATTGCAGAAAATAATACTGTCTAATTTCATACCTTATACATAACAGGTTCACAGGCAATACTTTATAGGGCTTATACTGGTCCAGATAATTTTATCACAGAAAGATGAAAAAATCTAAAGTATATGGGTATCTTCACCCTCTTGGTGAAGAATCTCTAAGGTCTAACTTTCCTTTTGATATAAGCCTAGAAATTGTATAAAATATGGCTTTAACAGTAAATTACTTATCTATTATCTAGCTAAAATTAAATGAAGGTCAGTTATAACATACAGTAATTCTTGTATATAACTCATCATCAGTTAGAGAAGCTTTTATACAGATCCATCACCGATGAAACAAAAATCAAAATAAGCTGAAAAAGAAATGTCTAGAGCACAAAAAAAGAAAACTGTGAATCGAAATGAAGCTATGAAGGTAAATCCCCAGCTACGTAGCATGTTAAAATTGCGATCCTTGGTATGTCTATGAGTGCTCTTACCTAGAAACACCAATTTAAAATCCCACTTGTGCATTACTTGTCTAAAGATTCATAGTTTTCTTCTTTTATGTGCTAGGCATTTCTTTTGCAGCAGGCTTTAGCTCAGTGATGCTGCCACCTGCCTCACAAGCACAAGGTCCTGAGTCCAATCCCTGGTACCAAAAAATAAAAAATTTAAAAAATCAAATCAAATAAAAATGATACCAACCCATGTTTATGTTTACCAATGGAAAGATAATTGTAACACATGGTTGAAGGGGAAAGAGCAAGCTCAAGCATGGAAAAAATATAAAAGGAAGTTTACCCAAAGGCTAGCAATAATTATCTCTCAGTTGCAAGATTACTTTATAAATTGTTAGATTGTTTTATCTTTTTCTTTATATTTTTCTATTTGGGTTGAAATTATCAGAATCTTTTTTGTTGTTGTTGTTTTTGGTACCAGAGATCAAACTGGATACCTTGTGCTTGTGAGGCAGGCAGCGGAACCACTGAGCCAAATCCCCAGCCCTAAGAACTATTTCTATAAAAAATAAATAAAACAAATGCTATAGCAATGTATGCAAAGAAAACATTTTATAATTCTTTTAAGTACACAAAAGTATGCCCTGTTATAGTTTAAGAAAATTCTTTACAAGTTTAATATAGATATAGATTTAGATATAGCTTTCCAGAAAGATGTGGACTGGGCAATTATGCGTTTAACTTTGATGGACAGTGCACGAATGCTGTGTACCTTCTTTCTGCTTGTGTCAAACGTCTGATAGTTCTGTAAACTATATGTAATACTATGTAACAGAAAAAAAATCCTTTTAATTTCAAAAGGGGAATGTACAAAAGTTATACACAGCGTAATCGCAAACATATAAAAATAAATCCACAGGGAAAAGGCTACTGAACTTGACATAAAAGCTAACTGAAGGAGCAGGCCTTCCTTTCACACTCAGTTTCAGGGTTTAGGCGACGCACTTACCTGTTTTCAGTGCGGTGTCCACGTAGCCCTCGTACAGCTGCCTCTGAGCGAGCAGGAAGAAGTGGTACGCCTCGGCCCCTCTCCACGCACTGTCTGTGAACCGGCCAGCTGTGGGCAGAGCTTCCTCCTCCAGCAAACCAGCCAAGGCAGAAGTGGCCTAGGAGGAGAGCCGACGCTCGCTTTCTGCCATGCACACAGTGTCTGTCACCTGCTGCACCGCCTCAGTGGTCACCAGGAAAGTGACCTTAGCGTATCTAGATAAGCAGGCGCCATCATTTCGAAACTGTCACAACACATAACTCCTATTTTGGTACACTGTTGCAATCAAATTTTGAAACAGGACTGATTAAACTTTAAGGTACTCTGAGATGTTTACACTGTGAAGTAATATCCATATTACTCCCACAGGCCAATATACACATTCTCACAAAGTTTTCAAAATTCTCTAATTAGAAAGAAAGATTTACTAGGTAGGTAAAAAATTTACCAAAAGTAAAATTTTAAAGCAAAGACTAATTTTCATTATTTCTAAGTAGGAATTTCTAAATTTGAATATGAACCCTAAATCAGGCATTTCTTTTCTGAAACTTGGAGAAATCGATGCTGACATCTCAGAGCGTCGGTCTGTAGAGAGAGATGTGGTGACGTCTGGCTCTCCCACGTGCCGAAGGCCCAAGCGTCACTTCCCGCACCCTCACCTCTGAACTCTTCCCTTTGACCTTCCCTCGCTGGGCACTCTTCACCTGCTCATGGTACTGCTCGACCAGCAGGGCTGCCAGCACGTAGAGCTTCTTCACACGCAACGGTTTAGTTCTTTTCTTTGCCTCCTCATCAGCAATCTTCAAACAGTTAAAAAATTGGGGGGAGATATTTCTGAATCTGTATTTGTACAAATATAATCATTTCCAAAATTAAGTGAAATTTGATTCTCTAAATGACAGAACAAAACATAAATTTTGCATAGATTAATATGGTATGTGTTATATTCTTTCCAAATGGATATTATGAAAAATATAATATTTAAAAATTCGTACAGCTACAAGGACTCAGAACTCTATTATCAATAGGATTTAATTTCCAGTTAAGGGAATTTGTACTTGGTGATCTCAGCAAATTCTTTAAATCTTTACTAATTTCAGTACCAAATTTACAATTATTAGTAGTAAACTGACAATAAATAGCCCTGTTAGTAAAAGATAAAAATATCAAAATAACAAATATTAGGGGCCGGGGATTTAGCTCAGTGGTGCCACCGCCTGCCTCACAAGCGCAAGGTCCCGAGTTCGATCCCCAGTACCAAAAACAAATGTTAATAGCAGTAATAAACCAGAGTAGTTTTGCTACAGTAAATATGTGTTTCAAAGAAAATGAAAAATATTCTTAGAAAAAAAAAATATATATATATAAATTGTAACTACGACAAAACCAGCTACTCACCAAGATTATTACATTACCTTAAACATCAGTTTAGCAGCATCAAAAAAGTAGCTGGCTTTCCGATAGAGTTCTATGGCGTCAAGAGTCTTATTTTTTTCCAGTAAATGCGATGCATACCTAGCTAACAGCGATCCAATTTCTTTCATACTATGACTTTTAGCCAATTCAACAGCTTTGTTCCACTAGGAAAAATAACCTGTATCATTCCCTGCCTGCATATTCACATTAACATGTCACAACAGCACAGTAAGACGTTCTGGTATGCTTTTTAAAATCCCCTCAAATCAGAGCAGTTGTAAATTCTATAAGCTACACGTGTGTCAGATTATTAAGTAATCTAAGACTTACTGGTTTAACAAGTGCATTTGAAAAAGAAAATTTCAAAGTTCATAATCACATTAATCTTGTGATTCTGTTTTTGTCTATACTATGAGCCAGAAAAAGATTTGACTTTCATTTTTTATCATAACACAAAATATGCAATTTTGGTTAAAAAAACACTATCTGGTTTAACATTTAAAAATGATTTTTATAAGCTAAATGGAGCTTTATAAAATAGTTTATGGAAAATACTTTAAAAATACACTGACAGCAGTTTCTATAATAATTCTCACTTTAATTTCACTTAAACTTCAGCTCCTAAAAAAATACATGTTTTCCAGAGAGGAGAAGGAAAACAGACTTGCCAAAATAAATATTGATAAAGGAACTCAATTCCCCCCTCAGGCAATGACCAAGCTTAACTGGTCCTTCTCTGGAATCAAAACCCAACCCTAATAAAATACAGAATATTATAAAATTCCTTCCAGCCTGAAAACACAGGCTAGCTCCCGTTCCCTTATGAGCGGTTACAAGGGCAAACTCCGCACAGGCTCGGTCTGCAGCTCCAGGGGAGAACACCTGTCTGGCCCCTGCCACCAAGTCCACCCGAGCCTCAACCCTCTCGGGACCACGATGGTGACTTTCACTTTGCTTTGACTTAAAAATTCCGAAGGCGACAGCCGCCACAGACAGTGAAGTCCAGTCCCGTACCTGGTTGAGATGCACACAGCTGTCCACAGCGGCCTTCGGCTGATTACATTTCAGAAACGCGGCCACAGCCTGTTCACACATTCCAACTCTCACAAACATCTGAGCTATTTCCTGTGAGGACAAAACAGTCCTATCAGGTTTCACAGGCCTAGGAAATCATTTATATCTCAGCGTAGAAAGCCCCTGGGACACGGGAATGTTAAACTGGCTGTGGTTACCGTGCTTTTTCTGCTTTTTCTTTTAAACAGACAGAAGCAGGGGCTACAAATCAGAACAGCTGCCACAGCAGCACTTGCCACAGAACCCGCAATTCACAGGCCCGGGCAGGATCCGACTAGTAGAGGGCCGAGACCCTGCAGGCCTTTCTTCTCCAAGGGCAGCATCGGGCGCACAGCAGTGGCAGGATCCAGAATCCAACCGGGCCCTGGGGTGCTGCTGGTGTAAGGGCCGCGGCCCATCTACAGTCCTTTCAAATGCCTCGGTGAAGATCAGCTGGCCTGTGGCCGCAGCTAGGACCAAAGCTAAGGTCAGCCCAGAAAACAAAGCGAAATCCCCCAAAACAGCAACACCCTCGAGAAGGCCACCATTCAGAGCAGGAAGCCGGACTCCTGGCAGAGCCGCCCACAGGTGGAGCAGGCGAGAGAACCACAGGAGCCGGGCGTCGTGGCTGTTTGGTGGCCGCCCCCTCCATTTTCAAAGAATCAATCTTTTGTTTCTTGCGACGCAGGTAACTAATTATCCAGACTTTTTGTCTCCCCACCTTCCTACTTTCAAAATTACTTGCAAATATAAATGTATATTTTCTGTCCAACTTTTAAAACATGATTTTTTATTACAGATACATTCCAATAGTAAAAAATCATAAAACATGAAAACATACCCGTTCCTCTTGCTCTCACTTCTCCCAAAGGGACCTCCCCAAATATCCCGTGGACCACCTAACTTCCCTGAGCTGCGTGCACTCACGAACGTGCGCGCCTGGTACAGACCGCAGTCACACGCTGCAGTTGCGGCCCTGCGCTTCCTACGTACTGTGAGAAAGCCTCTAACTTGATGTTATAGTACTACTTTAGTTATGTAGTTATTTCACTGTTAAAATCACCCAGTATTTACTCCGTAACGCCACTGTTCTGGATCCCAACAGCACAACGTTTTCCGCGCCGTCCAGCACACCTAGGAGACGACACTGACACGGCCGTAAGGGCTGTGGCGGGCCCATGGCACAGTGCTGCAGCCAGCGGTCAGCGCCGCGAGCTCCAAAAGGCTCCCCATCGCGGACACTGTTCCTAGACCCGGGATCTGAGTAATTTCGGTTTCCTTCCTGCTCAGCACAACGCAAGTGTTAGGAACAGGGGTGAGTAAAAATGCAGTTGTTACAGGGGTACCTACCCTACTTCACAGTAAGAAAACTGAATTATCAGAATATGCCACACTTATGTATTAACCAACAGACCAACTTCTGAGGTGCAACTCACACCGGCACTGTGTCCAAGCCCTGCAGCGAGTTCTGCCAGCCCCACAGGTGTGGTACAGCTCAGCCATTTACACAGAGGACAAACAAGTAAGACACAAACCCATCAGCAGAATTCAACAATTAATTAAAAGACACTAAAAGAAATATCCAAGTGAACAGAACGTGCTTTTAGTTTCTCTTTAACATGAAGTACTTTATTGTTAATAGAACCTAATAAACGTTGAGCTATTTTTTTAAACTTCAATTGTAGCAAATTTTAAGTAATTTCAGATTTTGAAGCAAATTCCTGACAAGACAGCATTTCATCTGTAAATATTTCATGTATTAAGATGACTTTCAGAGGCAAATTTATAAAGCTGAAAACACTATACAAGACTACACATTATAGTAATACAAAAATGACGGATATTCCCCTCAGTAATACAAGCATCATTTCATGTCCACAAAACTATAAATTCACAATTTTTAATTTTCTATATTGTAGAGGTTATTTCCTGATATAGCACAAAAATCTTACAAAGTAGCCTAACAACTTCAAAAACCAAAATATGCAATGCCTACCAGAAGTAACTTGTGGTTTTCTGGCAGTGAACTGGCAAGATTCTCTAATCCTTCATAATCTTCTAACATATAATAGCATTCAGCTAAGCGTTCCTGGTTCCGACCTTGTACATAATATTGTACAGCATTCAACCTATGGAAAGAAAAAAAAAAGAAAAGCTTTTAAAGCTAAAGTGAATCTCTGTAAGTATTTTCATCAAAAAGGTGTGTGTAAAACCCGGGGTTCAAACCCAGCACAGTAATCATCACCACGATGATGGTAATGACGATTACTTACATTACTCAAGTCATCATCTTCAGTTACCCAATTCCACTAAAAGCTACAAAGCATATCCTACTTGTAACAGACTTTGAGTATTCTTATGAAATACATTTTAATCAGATACATCACAGTACTACTCCCACTGACGTGCGTGTTACTGATCAAATGAAAATTTAAGAATAAAAGCAATGACTTCCAAAAATAATCTCTAATAAGAAAACAAACAAATACAATATTCTTGTACTTTGTTCAGAAACAAATCAATAACATCATAGAAGTGTACACTGCGATCTCAAACAGCTCAAATCTGCCCAGAGCTAAGTGGAAGTTTTATGTTTGAAACTCCACAGGTTTACAGTGCTCACAGTACAACTTCAAGGATTTTGCTCTCCAGCGTGAATGCAGAGCCATGTGAATTTTCAGGTTTAGTGGGCTCACCTTCATTTCCCAGCATCTCACCCTAGGGACATTTCCCACCCACTGAGGAAAGTACGGCTCCATACCACTTCTGTCGGTCAGCGAAGTAGTCCCCGATGGCATTGTGAGCTTGCTCAAGGAGGCTGTCGTCTGCATCGCCTGACCCAGTTTTCAGGAGGTGCAGTACTCTGAACCAGTCCACCAACTTCAGCCGGAGGCCAATAGCAAGGTCCCTACAAATAACGGCATCCAATCATTCATACGTCCATTCGACAAATATCTATCAGGTGCCTACTAAGAGCCAGGCACTGTTCGAGGTAGAGAAGATAGGCAGACAAGGTAACTCCAAACTTTTTAGAAACCTAGCCCGACCAGCTAACAGGCAATGGGGGATGGGGGCCCGGATGTATCCGTCTGAATGTGTGTCCCTTCCAAAATTCATGTTGGGCAGCGGGGTGGGGGGGGGTGCCTTCATCTCAGCACTGAGAAGGCTGAAGCAGGAGGACTTCAGGCCAGCCTGGGCTACACAGTGAATTAAAAGCCAGCATGAACTACATAGCAAGGCCCTGTCTCAAAAAACAAAACAAACAAACTCAATTGATACCTATAACCCTCCTTGTGGTAGTACCAAAAGGTGAGGTCTTTGGGGGAGTGACTGTCTTCCTGCATGAGCTTATTAGTACCTTCCTAAAAGGAACATCAGAGAAAATGCACCCCTTTTTGCCCTCTGCTTTCTGCCATGTGAAGGTGTAGACTTCAAAACACCACCTTAAAACACAGACAGGCCTTTCACCAGACACTAAACCTGCTTTTTGTGGCTCCTTGATCTTGGACTTCCCAGCCTCCAGAACTATGAAAAATAAAATTCTATCCTTCATAAATTACGCAGGCACAGGTAATTTATTATAGTAGCACAGAGACACCAGAAGAGGAGAACTGTCTTTTGTTTTCAAGCACTTCCAACTTCCTTGGCAAAGTCATGAATTAAATAATCACTTCTTTCCATCAGGCGGTGGGGGCAGGGGGTGTTTCAGGCACGTGTGTCCTGAGACACAGGATCCAGGGCAGGCGTGCCTGGTGGTCTCAGTGTAATTCACATGACCTGGGTGACACTGCACGCAGCTATTACTGTGGAGTTACGACCCTGTACTCTGTGCAGCTGGAGAGAGCGCTGAGCAGCCACAGGCACAGCCCCGGGGCTCTTCTCCAGGATGCCCAAATCTCAAGCAAACCTTCCTAGTCCAAACTGGTGGCAGGACAGACGCCTGCCCCTTCCTAACTTACCGCCTGTCCATGTCAAGGTACATCCTTTCTGCCTCTTCAAACCTGCCAAAATAGGCAGCGACTTCCGCTTGCTTCATGGCCTCGCTCTGCAGATTGCCCAGGCGCTTGACAAACTTGATGCCTTGGTAATCTTTGCAGCGCACAAACGCTTGCTGTGCAGTGCACAAGTCCAGTTTCTGAAGAGCTGCTTCAGCTAACAGGCGCCTTTATTTAGAAAAGAGACAGCCTTTGCAAGTCACTGATAAACCAGTCTTGAACCAGAATTCCATTATTGTGCTTATCACTTCTAGATAATCATGAAGGGAAATGACTATGTTTGCACACATCGATGTTTTCATATACTATAACACTGTGCTTATAATGAGAACTTTCAAATCAGAAATAAATTTCCATATTTTAAGAAGAGAAGAATCTGAGCCCGTTCCCTAGGAGGTCAGTGCAGGAGCTGGGATGGCAGCTGGGGCTCACACACATACACCGCGCATCTGGGGAAGTCTGGGGGGTTTTATACCAAAGTCTGGGGTGTGGGTTGTCCTCTATAAATTGAGATGCATCTTCAATCCCAACCTTCTCAATCAAGGCTCGACTATCTCTCAGGGACCGAATCTCAAAGTTAAGTATGTAATCCTTGTTTGGATGTTCTGGATCCTAAAAGTAAAGATGAAAACAAGGAAATCAAATAGTCACCGTCAGAGTGTGGAATCTCTCCTGAGCAGTCAGGCTTTGCGTGGGCAGAAGCAGCGGGGTGTGAGGGTCCCTCCCAGCTGTGTACCCCACTTCTTTGTCATCCTCCCAGGGGTACCTGTGCCCCTCCAGAAACCCAGGTGCCACACTTCCGCTCCCTCACCCTTCATCCACGCTCTCCCCACCAGGAGCAAAGCACTACTGATCCCCTACCGTTAGGCAGTGAAAAGGAGAAAGGAAGGGGCTGGGGTCATCGCTACCACCCCATCCCACATAACTTCTCAGGCTGACTAAAACAATAAAACACTGGAAGCGTATCTGAGGAAAAGCTGGATAAATGAGCAAAGAAAGGAAAACAGCAGTTCCAACCAACTCAGCCATACTCTCCACACCACAGCTAACGAGGAAAGCACGGAACACGTACACCCACGTGGAAACAGCAGTGGGTGGGTCCTGGGGAGCAGAGCACGCTACAAAGCTAAACAGCCACAAGCACCCCCTCCTCACCCGGCAACAGCAGCCCTGGAGTCAGAGTGGAGCTTTGGGGCCTGTGGGCAGGAGGAGGAACCGGTGGGGACGGTGTGAGCCCCGGACTCAGGGAGGCCTGGCCCAACCTAAGGAACTGCTCAGGGCCACACGAACCGCCCTACACGCCTGCACCGGAGCCTCCTCTCCAGCCAATTCCCCCACTGCCTCCAGAGAAAGCACTAAGTCCCCAGCAGGCACATAAGGTCCCTCAGAGCCCACCCTGTCCACACCGCAGCCTCTTCTCTGCCACCCAGCCGCTCCGAGGCCAAATCATCCCGCTGCCCATGGCTGGCTGGCCCACAGGGGCGGGTTACCTAACCCCTCTCCACACCACAGCTCCCTCGCCTGACAGTGGAGGAAACCATCAAAGTGTCTCTCAGAGCTGTGAGGACTGAAGACAGCACAGCTAACAGGAGCACAGGGCCCGGCCGTGCCAGTCACAGAGTGGGGCCCTCCTCACTGAATCAGAGGCTCCCACAGTCCCCCGGATGCTGAACTACTCTTTACCCAGTTCCTCCACACAAGGCCAGGGATTGAGTTTTACTGACTCTTAATTAAAATGTGCTGAATCAATGAACAGATGAACTCTCACCAAATCATTTCACTCATCTGAAAAAGGTATGTGAAACACCTACCAGGCAGGGTCGAAACGCCTCGTGTGAAAGTACTTTGGTAAATATTAATTCCTTGCTTTACCTTCTGTATTTCTTCTCTAATCCTCCAAGTTGTGGTGAAACCTGAACTCGCAATCCACCTGCCTCCGCCTCCCTGAATGCCAGGATTATAGGGCTGTGCGACTACACCCAGCTCCATGTCATTTCCTACAACCATATGCTTGAAGGGATCCATAAGCCAGCTAGTCATTTCCTGGGTCACTAGGGCCCCAGAGAGAAGCATGACAGATTCTTTTCTTTAGTAAGCTTTGCGCATAATCAGGCTGATAACAAACTGTCACAGAGAATTTAGTTCCTGTCAGCCTAGCTCTCTGCCCACTCTGACCCTTTCCTGGTGCACTGAGCACCACACTGCAGGAGCCTCAGACCCCAGCTGACTGATGGAAATACGTAGCTTCCAAAATACTTTTATAGTCAGTTCAATCACCAACTACAGCAGCAGTGCCACAGGCACTCTCAAGCATTATAAAACGGAAGGCAATCAGCAACTCTGAGCCTTTCTTTAAAAATCCCAGTGATGGCCAGGCGTGGTGGTTCATGCCTGTAATCCCAGCATTCAGGGAGGCTGAGGCAGCAGAATCACTGTGAGTTTGAGACCAGCCTGAGCTACATAGTGAGTTCCAGGTCAGTTTCAACTACATAGTGAGACCCTGTCTCAAAAAACAACAATAAAAAAAATCCCAGTGACGATGAAATCTAGCCAACTAAAGAATCCAAATCACGGGCTCACGCACAGAGAAAATGTAATAAAAAGACTGACAGCCATGCACGACTTGGTGGAAGACTAAACCACTAAGGGCAAGGCCTAGCTGGGCGGCGGAGCACTGGCCTTGCATGTGTGCAGCCTTGGGTTCAATCCCCAGCACCGTTGCACGAAGAAGACTGAACAACTGGGAGTTAGTCAAAAAACAAAAGTAAAATGTCCTAAATCTTGACAAGGTAAAAATAATGATATGGCTAACCAAAAAAAGAGAAAAGAGACAGAAAATATAAGAATGTTTCCTTTTAGAGTAAAAAGTCAATGCTATTAAAAGCTAACATGCTTAGCCTTTCATAACTTTTCTCCCTAAGCCAGGAAAATGGCATTGTGGTGAGAACGTTAACTAAACGCCACTCTTTGGAGAATGCTCTCCACTGTAAATTGATGTTTGGACTGTTTAATTAAAATTGAACTAACATTAAAGAGATTGTCACTGATGCCCATTTTATGAAGTTACTTCTATTCACCTATCGAACCTATCGAACCTTTCACACACAGCTTAGCCAGATGAAATGAGGCTCTGAAGTTTATCTAAAGCGAATGATTAAAACACCTGCATGGTGTGATTTGGGTTATTTTTCCCTTTGCTTTCAGCACTTTTCTGTATTGCCTGAATCCTATGTAACTATTTAATACCCTTTCAGAAGCAATACAGTCATTATTTGTTTTTAAAAAATCAATGTAACAGGGCCAGGGATTTAGCTCAGTGGTTCTGCCACCTGCCTCATAAGCACAAGGTCCTGAGTTCACTCCCCAGTACCAAAAAAAAAAAAAAAAAAAAAAAATCAACGTAACAAACATTTCGTGGGAATCTCTGACATGACAGCGGACCCTTCCTGGACACAGGAGACTGGAGAAGATCACTCTGACAAAACATTAACACTTGAGACAGCCGGGACCCAGCAGCAACCACAGCCAGACTCTACCCATTAATAACTCTGTCTTTACGAGGACACTCAGGGATCACAACCCTAAGTCCTTCGACAAAGAGGACACAGGAATGAAAACTTACTTTCTTGCATGTGTGAGGAAAAGGGGACACTCTTTGACATTACTGACCATGAGTGAACAGGCCACTAGATAAGTTTGCTGATAGGTGTGGTGGTGATCTCCTGTCATCCCACCACCACAGAGGCTGAGGCAGGAGGATTGCCACAAGTTTGAGACCAGCCTGAGCTACACAGTGAGTTCAAGGCCAACCTGAACTACACAGCGAGACTGTCTAAAAACAACAAAAAGAGGGCCAGGGATTAGCTCAGGGGCACGGCACCTGCCTTGCAAGCACAAGGTCCTGAGTTGGATCCCGTGGTACCAAAAAAAGAAAAAGAAAAAAACAGACACGCTCCTTTATTTCACAGGTTAAATGCCTTAAACAAGGACAAGATTTTTCTCTTCACTCTTTAAAGAAGTGCTCTCTACACAGAGAAGAGTCAGCCAACACGGTGCTCTCATCGCCCCAGGGCAGTGGTGGCACACAGAGCCCTCTCTGGAACGTGAGCCACGCTGCCCCGGCTCTGCCGCAGCAGCGGAGCATTCAGGTTTAACTGCAGCGTTGGCGCTCTGCGGTAAGTAAGTGGTTTGGGGTTGCAGTTTGACACTCGGCCTCTAAACGGTTCACCATCACTGCCCCAGAGTGTTGCAGGCTCCATCCTGGAGTTAGACTGCGGACCGCATGCACTGTACTTCTCTGTCCTCTTCTGAAATCCACAGGGCTGGCTGATGAGAAAGTCCAGGGCTCCCTCCTTTGGGGCCAACCAGAACATCAAGCCACTGAAACCTCCATGGGAAGCACAGCACAAGTCACAGAGCACGGCTGGACCTGAGAGCTATCCGACCTCTGGGTCCACACACCTAAGTGAGATATCACACTGTCTGGTCCCAGAGGAATTCCAGTCAAGCTGACAACAGAAATATGATTGGTTTTAAGAATTACCACTATGGAGCTGGGGATTTAGTTCAGTGGTGCCTGTGCCAGCCTTGCAAGCACAAGGTCCTGAGTTCGATCCCCAGTACTCAAAAAAAAAAGAATTACCATTATGTCCCCCGAAGCCTCATGTACTCATAGCAAGGGGTTTTGGAGATGGCTGGATTGAGGGTTATGAATATGGATTAAGGGTGTGTGGTAACCAAATTACTCCACTGATTGGTTTGTTATCTCTTGCTGCTGCTGCAGCTTCTGTTGCTGCTGCTTGTCTTCTGGTGCCTGTTGCCTGCTCTGTGTTGCCCTTCTGCCCTGCCATGGACTGTTTCTCCCATGATGCCCCTGTGCCATGCCACCTGTCTTGGAGCCATCCAAATAGGAACTGAAACCTCTACAAACTGTGAGCAAAAATAAGGTTTTCTTCCCTTAACTTGTGGGTGTTGGGTATTTTGTTCCAGCAGTGAGGAAGTAACTAAAACAATTACCTTTAATATCTCATCCAAAAGAACAGATTTAATTTCTAAATCCTCAAAGTTACAAATATATCCAGAGGTCTGAATGGGTTCCTTAAAGACAAAAACAAGTGTTATGTTCCATCTTGCAAAATAGCCTGTCCTTTAAGAAATCCTGGTTTTAAATTTTATATCAAAATTTTCAAACAAACTAAAACCTAGACGGAATGACCTTAGTACCATGTACACATTACTTAAGAAATTGTCAACATTTGCTACATATATTGCATTTAATTTTGTGGCTAACGAACTGTAAATTATAGGTATCATGACATTTCAACCCTTAAAATCTTCAGGCCATTTATCTAAAAGATAAGGACATTTTCTTACATGCCCATATTATAAGCTTAATTCTTAGTAAAATGATAAGCAGTATATTTGTATCTAAATACATCTATCACAGAAACCCTATACCATATTGAGAAGTCTGCTCTCGGGAACATGAGCCAAGGAGTGTCACTGATAGATTCCCTACATTCAATTTCTCTTTTTGCGGGGGTGGAGGGGTACCAGGTATCAAACTCGGGTCCTTACACTTGCGAGGCAGGCGCTGGAACCACTGAGCTAAATCCCCAGCCCCATCCTACACTCAATTTCATTTGCCAATATGTAAATATATGAGTCTGTTATTTTAGTAGAATGAGACTCCTATATGCTAATAAATGTGTCTAGTAGGTTTGCAATTATTTGCTTTCTATTAAAAATCTTAAGTTGCTGGTTAAAAGTCAAAAATGAGACTTTTTTTTTTTTAGGTACCTGGGATCAAACTCAGGACCTTGCACTTGCGAAGCAGGAGGCAGAAGCACTGAACCACAGGGCTAAATCCCTGGCCCAAAAGTGACACAACTTTATAAGATGCTTTTATTACCTTTAAAAAGGTTGTATTGTATAAGACAAATAATATGCTTTTCTGAGCAAAAAGTACACATAAAGAATCAGAATGTACTTCAGTTAAAAAAAAGTAATCTAGGCTGGGCATGGTGGTGTACACCCATAATCCCAGCACTCGGGAAGCTGAGGCAGGAGGATCACTGTGAGTTCGAGACCAACCTGGACTACACAGTGAGTTCCAGGTCAGGCTCAACTATATAGCGAGACCCTGTCTCAAAAAAGAAACCCCCCAAAAAGTAATCTATATATAAATCTATTTCTTATACATTACAGGAGCCCTTATATACTTTATTTTCATACTTTAGGTAAATAAAATATATTTGCATAAACATGTTTATCAGTAGAAAAATATTTTATTTTTGGCTAGATAATGCAACAAAGCAAGGCAATCAAAAGATAACTTGTGGATTAAAAAAAAAACACCAAAAACAAAGAGAAAGGGAGAAAAGTAAAGGTGGAAACAAGATCAAAAATTCTGAGTTTTGAAAATAATCTATGATTATTAGTATTTAAGTAAATATGGTAAATATGCACAAATAATTATATAATTCATATTTTAAAATTCAATTTCTGCTCGACTTATCTTAATCAATTTTATTTTCCAAAATTCAAAGATATTTAATTGAATATGAAGTTTCAGACCAATGATCTACAAGGTAGAGTACACTCACCTAAGCATTATATAATTCTTTTTATCAAAAAAGTGTCTATAGCACCAGAGATTTAGCTCAGTGGTTCCACCACCTGCCTCACAAGCACAAGGTCCTGAGTTCGATCCCCAGTACCCACCCCCCAAAAAAAGTGTCTAAAGCTTTACTGTGTGTACTCTGAGAGTCACTGGCACCTCTCCTCAGCACAGTCAGAAGGCCTCCCAATTCAGTCTGCACATTCTGACAGACTGAAGTTTGCAAATACTTAAGTAAGTATATGGAGGGATTACACTATCTAACTTTAGCTACGCCTCCCCGCCGGACAGGTGGCTTAAAAACTGTCTCGAAAAGAGTGTGAACTGAAAGCAATGCTGGTAACACAAGTACAAGCAAACATGAAACAGGAGAACGGGCTCCTTGCTTGCTCCTAACAAATCCAAAGCCACATCTGGTGTAAACCAAAGACAACCCAGTCTGCACACATGGGTAAATACACTGTGACTGTCAAACAGTAGCTTGTTCATGTCCTGAAGGAACACCCCAATCCAGTTTTACAGATCCAGTAACTTCTGTGTTGGAGAAACAGTGGGCAGAGTAACTAAACTGACCACAGAAAGCAGGAGAAAAGAACAGAAGAGGACGGCTCATAAAGAAGTCTAGACAGTGGGAGGTTTGTTAAAAAAGAAAATCTATCAAGCTGTAAATCTAACAGAATTTGAACTACAGGCCAAATCATAAAACAAACTCCAATTAAAAAAGTAATATTTTTTAAAAATGAGGACTGTTCTGTTAGAACTACATAAGGAACCCTCTCCGCCAGTGGGGAAGAAACTGCGGCTGGGGCTGTGCACACCCCAGACAGGATACACCAGACACCAGCACTCTCTCAGAGGGTGGGAACGGCCTGTGCTCACCAACCAACTCCCTCTCATGCTCTGTGTCTAGGACCCATCTCCCCCTGGGTCCCTGCAGCAAACCCCTGTTTGCAGAAACATCTTCCTTTGAACCATTTCTCAGGACCTAAGAATTAGAGAGCCCCTGAGTCCTTAACGCTTTCACAGCTTTGGAAAGCAGTTTATATTATTGCCAACTTGAAGTTTCTAAGTAGGGCTCAAGTGGAAAATGTAAAAATAATTAGATATCAAAGTGACAAGGCAGCTTACCATTAAACAAATTACTACAGAAAAATTTTTGGCAGCTCAAGAAACTGAATATACCATTTTTTCCCAAGGAGGCTACAGGTGCAAACAAATAAAAATTAATGACATAAAGCTATTATTCACACTAGTGAAATACAACAGAAAATTCCAGGGCCAGGGATTTAGCTCAGAGGTTCTACCACCTGCCTCGAAAGCACAAGGTCCCGAGTTTGAGCCCCAGTATTTTTTTAAAAAAAAAAAAAAAAAAAAAAAAAAAAAAAACACAAAATTCTAAACTGAAAAGCTCTATTAATTAGAACATATTTAAGAGATTTATCTTCTTGATTAAATCACCACTCAAATTATTGTATATTTTCTTTTTTGCGGGGTACCGGGGATACAACTCGGGCCCTTGCGCTTGCAAGGCAGGTGGTGAAACCACTGAGCTAAATCCTCAGCCCTATTGTATACTGTGTAAACAAAAGAGCTAACAGTTGGTCTGGAACAGATGGAGTGACAGAAAAATCCAGAGCATAAAAATAGTTGATGTGAAGCACAAGTGAAAGATGCAACCTTATGAGAAAGGGACTTCCTGATCCCCCGAGAGGACGGGTCGCAGTGCACACTAGCGCATTTGTAAGAATGTCTGGGTGAAGAGAGAACACGGGTCAGCAGGTGATGTGGTGAACGTGTACATGAGTACCACATGCAGCAGGGATGGGCAGGAGAATATGAGAGGAAAAGGCAGTTTCAAAAGTATAGTTTTTGTTAGATTCTTTAAGAAATTTTGGAAAAAAAAATACTTTCTTTTGTTTTCTTGAAGGAAGACTACCTAGTGACCATGGTTCCATCTATCAAAAGGAACAAATAAACACGCAGAAAGTCCTTGTAAGGGGAAGTAAAGAACATTTAAAGATGAGTATCACTCCCACTTGAGACCAAATATTAAAATCCACAAAAACGTTTCCATTTACTTTCACAGGTTTATGCAGCCAACACCAATAAACCCCTTAAAGAAACAAAGGGGATACATCCAGGTTTTGCTATTTGGCTCATTATTTGTGAATATTTAGCACTCATTTCCTGTTTTTACCTCAGGATCCAAGTTTCTGAAAACATACATTCTTGTCTTCTCCATCATTGCAAAGAGGGCAGGGTTGTCCTTGGCCCACCTCATGTCCCAGACATCCTTCCGCTCCAGTTTCAACAGCTCGCCGATCACCTGCTGCCCTGTGCTGTCCGTCACCCGAGCATCCAGGTCAAAGAAAGTCAGAACTCCTGAGATGTCTATGACAGCGAGACGGCTGGAAATGATGCCAGCAGGGAGGGGAACATTGCACAACTATTATCAGTGTCGTGAGTGGAATCACCTACCACCACTCTTCAAAAGTGGTTAATCAAACACTTAAAATACAGTAGAAACAACTTTTAATTTTTTAAATAAATTTAACAGAAGAGAGACTAGTGTTCATCTTGCTTCCCTGGAAGGAAAACATATCCAAAGTGAGTAAATCAATTAGTATGAAAATACAAAATAGTTTCGATACTCTTAAGCTTTAGTAACATCTTACCAGGATTTTCATATGCCCAGTAGACAAAGACCAAATACAGTACAGTAAAAACCACACTGAATTTTAAGACAAGTTCACAACAAACACATCTGTCTTCACAATTATTACATAAATCAAAAATCCCAATCAATAACTCTAACACCCGCATGGGAGAGCGCTCAGGTTTACCTTGAGTTGCAATTCAAAGATAACTGGTAGGCTCGACAATTCAGAGAATACTTTTGAATCAACCCAACATTGGGGAGGCTGTATCTCTGAATGGTGCCAGACTCCCGACCCTGTGAAAATGACATCTGATCACTAAAGTATCTTTAACATCTTTCCCTATGATGAATGTAATCTTTATGTATATCAAAAGTGTACCATTAAAATTAATTTTAAAAAATGAAATAGCTGTAACTAAAAGTCTAGATGTTTATCCTGTAGTCATCTATCTGATATTCATTTTTGACAAGGAGAAAGGGGATCTGAAAGCAGTGACACCTTGAGTACTAGTTTAAATATGTTTAAAAACTAAAACAATACACACTTCTATGCAACTCTAGATGAGCACCAAGGCTCACAGATCAGCAGCGAGTACACAGACAGGAAAGGGCTATGGTTCCCAGCTCCTCCGTACCTGGAGCGTGGCAGTGGGGCACCACCTCTTCTCTAGCCAGGGCAGCAGTGGTCCCGCAGCCTGACTCTCAAGAAGGGCCATTTAGGAGGTTGGGCATGGCAGAGTCACTGCTAGGAGGGGTCCCCCATAAAGTCAGCTAGCAGCTAAAGAACATAACTAGAACTGGAAATACACACTACTAAGCCTCTGTTTACATAAATCAAATGCAATGGCACCGGCGTTACTGTATTAAAGTAAACATACTTTTAAATTAACATTTTCAAGTGCCAGAGATCAGGAAAACACACTATACTATTGATTCTATTTGAGAAACTCAGCAGAAATTCGCCAAGGTCTGCTCTACTTTATGGTTAGCAAACACATCACCTCTTCAGTCTACATCTTATGAAAGTAGCTGAGCCAAAGCACTTTTTCAATACAAAATATCAGGAAAAAAACATTCTAGGCCCTACTGCCACCATGCAATCTGCCCCACAGCCTTTAACCCTTTACAGGACTCTTTCAATTCTGTGTCAAACTCTCGATGCAATTACTTTATCATCTCGTCTGGCCACCATTCTACTAATTTTATCAACAGCTATTTTTTGCAATGACTAAGAATTTGTAGGGCTGGGGATTTAGCTCAGTGGTGCCGCCACCTGCCTTTCAAGTACAAGGTCCCGAGTTTGATCCCCAGTACCAAAAAAAAAAAAAGAATTTGTAAGGTAAGCTTTAAAACTGTCTGAATTTGTGTATTAGATTTAATAAAACATGGGGTGGTTACAAGATGATATTCAAACCCAAAACTCACTGCTTTACCCTACTTTTGTAATTGAAACAATTATTATTCCAACAATAAGTTTTTCACAACTTACCACAAGTAATGTCTTATCAGATGCAGTTATCGCACAAATTGGATCTCTTGTGCCCTAAAATAAATTAATCAATCCTTATTATTTAACAAATTTGTATCAACTGGTCGTTATAAGGGAACGAGCACTTAACCAAAAAAAAAAAAAAAAA